ATTTTGTTTCAAAATTTCTTTGTTTTTCCTTTTTAAATTTTTATGATTTTCACCAATTGAAGCATTTTTGAAGAACAGTTGATCTTTTGATTGCTCGCTTAGATGAAAAATATGATCAAGATGTTCGTTTTTGTTGAACAAAACTTCCATAAAAGCAATATTGTCTGCGACGCTGTAGATTGTTTTGAATCAGTTTCAATGTCCTCGAAAGTTTGTCCAATTGAACTTTTGGATATAATGAACTTCGATTGTTTAGGATTGTTTAACATTATAGTTAACGTTTTTTTGTCATGATTACAATATGTGTTATAAGTGTATATTCCTTTTTGTTGTAGGTCTTTATCAAGTTTGAACGATGTTCCCTTTTTGAAAACTTTGTCAGCTGGGGATATTGAAATGACACGAGTTGACTTTGGTGCTGAAGTTATAGTTTGGTCCAAAAGTACATTTTGATAACTACTTATAAATGGATTGTTTTTGCTTTTTATGTTGCTGATAGCGACTGATACTCCTGGATACTTTTTAGGTTCTAGTTTTGGTGTTGAAATTTCAATCGATTTAGTTGAATTAGAGAGAAAATCCATACCTAATATATTAAGTTTACATCCGTCTTTGGCCGCAAACCATGCTCGAATTGTTACAAAATAATCACCTCTACTGTCAAAACTAGCGTTAAAATTTGTATATCCTAAGAGTGTGAGTTTTTGTCCGCTAACAGCAAATGTTTTGGATTGTGCTTCAGTAAGTGTCAACTTTTGTATTTTTGCGTATTCTAAATAGGTATCATAATTTAACAGCAAACAAGTTGCTCCAGTTTCTACTAAAAATTGGGTTTTAAGGCCGTTATTTTTATTTTTGTCTCCGACGGGATGTTGATATAGATTAGTATACATTTGTGACTTTTTATCTTGCGGAGACTGTTCTAGTTTAAAGTAAGTTCTTCGCCTTCGTCATCGCTGTAATAGCCATGGATTTTATTCTCACTAAATGGTACTTTAGGGTTTCTGTCTCGACTATTTTCTCTGGAGGATGGTTTTGAATCACCTAGGGATCTTGCTTGGTTATTGTAGGATGGGAGTTTATTTTCGTGAGGTCTGTTTTGGTATCGTGTTCGATAATTGTCTTGTGAAAATGATCTTCTATTTCGATCGGGTATAGAATTGCTTCTGTTCCTATTTTGATTTTAGTTATTTGAGGTTGTGTTGTAAGTATTATATTGATTTGGGTTATTTTGATCGCTAAATCTGTTATTGAAATTTCTATCTCTTGATCCAAAACTTTGAGATCGAGATCTATCGAAACTATTTGTTCTATTATTAAACTGTCTAGGATATCTAGGATATGGAGAATATGGTCTGGTATTGTTATTCCGCTGATTATAGCTATTGCATCGATTGTTATAACTATTTTCTTCTCGAGGCCTAATTCTCCTTTTATAATTGTCTGAGAATTTTTCACGATACTGAGGTGATTTTCTGTTTTGATCTTTGTGGTCTCTGTATTTATAACAAGCACTGATAGTATGACCTGACCTACGACACCATTTACAAAATTGGGTATGGTTTTGTTTATTTCTGGGTTCATTTGGATTATAGGCTGCATTTATTTTATGATCTTTCATTAGTCCTGTTAACTTCTTAAGCTGATTCTTTATTCCTTCTATCTCCAACTTATTATCAACACTACTTGAAGCTGTTCCAGTAAACTCACTACTTACTGCAAAACTTAAATTTTGTTACAATATGATCTTTTAATTGTTGCCATGTTGCGGGTGGATTCTCAATTAGGAATTGATGAGCCTTTTGTTTCAAGCCTGGCGGGCTTAAACCGCGTAAAAAGAATTCCATCTTCTTTGCTGTTCTTTGATCATCATTAAAAGTTGGATTAGGCCATCCACGGTCTACTGCGGTGCTTAATCTATGTATGCAGCTTTTAATGAATTCATCAGGTTGTCTTTTTATGTTTTCTGCTTCTATTCGTCTCCTATACTTATCCTTATCATCAGTGAATCTATCTATGAATTGATCTCTTATCTCATTCCAAGGTACGTTTGCTGCTAATCCCTGATACCATTGAGCGGCTGGACCTCCTAATATTGAACCAAATAAGGCTCTCTGTCCTGTTCGTCACCTGCGGTCACAAATAAGGTTATCATATGCGTCCTGTTCGTCACCTGCGTCTGCTGGTCTAGTGCCTACGGAAAATGCTATCTTTTTCTCTACTATATCAAGAAAATCTCTGGCATCTTCATTTGTACCTAAGCCGGTAAGCTTTTCGAGAGCTAAATTTGGGTACGCTACTACGTTTGCCTTCTTTGTTTAATTCACTCAATGTTTTGTTAACAATAGACAAAGGGTTTGGATGTGTTGTGTACTTATCAATTGTAAGGACTGAACTAATTGTACTTAAATTACTGTGAAATTTGCTGGGTTCAATGAAAACAAATTTTTATTAGATAGATTAACAGTGCTATGGGGCTGTTTAGGCTTTTATAAGATAGAATTTATCTCTGGGTTATTGCTGCGGGAGAGAATAGTTAGTTCGTGAATATTTTTGTGTGGATATGTTTGGACAAAATTGTGATTTGATACTTTTGGAAATTGGTGATATACCAAATAGTTTTTGTGGATTTATTTTTCAATTTTAGGTTTAAATTAAATGCTGTTGTATTTATTTTATAAAAGTTTGTCATAGCTTTCTACATCATTTTTGAGTTATAAATATTTATCTAGGTGATGACAAACAATACAAGGAATATCTAAATTTTTCTTATGAACTTGTTATGATTTAAACTTTGTTGAGGAAAAATTTGTGTTTTTAATAAAAAATGATTAAAATGCAAGTCTTTTCGTTGGTGGTTAGATGATGATATCAAAAAACAATCGGGAGTGAAGCAATTAATCGTTCTTGCAGTATATAAATTATATTATTTGGTATTTTTATTTGCTGAAGAATTGTGTCAATTTCTGGAGTATAGCGTCGAAACAAGACGTATAATTCGTGTTTATTGTCGTTAGGGTGTTTTGCTAGTATACCAATATGATCTTTGTCATTGTTAGTGATATACCATTTGATGTTAGAGACTTTATTTCCTAATTTGAGTTTTAAATTTATTGTACTGACGTCAATTTTAAAATGTGTTGACATTAATTTTTACGATGTTTGTTTTCTTTTTCTTAAGCTAAGTTGTACTATTTAATTAGTATGTTTTAGAGTTATGAAAACCTCCTAGGAATTATTGAATATTAACAAAGTATATTAATAATGAAATAAGAAAATAAAAAAAATTCTTTGGAAAAAAAAAACTTTCTTTAACTTTTTTCTAAGTTTTTCAAGTTTTTTACTCGCTGAAACCTTAACTGAAACCTGAAACTTTGTTCAAGTGAAGTTTTATTGATGCCTTTGGTATGGTTAACAATATAACTATATGCCGTTTTGGGTTATTATTGGCTCAAAACTTAATTTTTTTGTTAAAATTTTTTCAAAAACTTTTGACTGAAACGATAATCTGAAACCTGAAACTATGGTGGCTGAAGTTGGGATTTTTAAACTTAAAACTGTCTGAAAGCTTTAGTATACCTGGTTTATGCTTTATCTAGCAAAAAATTCGAGAAAACCGAATCTTTTGATATCTTAACTTAGTTTTTGAAATCTCAAACCTAAAACTCTTAAACTCTCTCAAACTCGATGCATGAAAATAAAAAGTTGGTTTTTGATAGCTGGTCTAGTGTAAATTAGAATTTGGAACAAGTTTGTAACTTCAAAATCAAAAATTTGTATGCGGAAACCTAAGTTTTTGGGGCTGAAACTATGATTTCTAGAACTGAAACTATGGTTTGACCACTTGGTTTTAGAGCTTTGAGATTGGAAATTTAGGTTGGTCTCTCTAATAAATTTTTATTCCAGCACTAATATTGCCAAAAAGATAAGAACTTTAGCCTAAAACGACGATTTTAGTTTTCTGAAACTATAAGTTTGAGGGCTCAAACTAACACCTTCTAGGAGTTTTTTGAGTTTAAAAATTGGTTAGTGCATTAAGGATTCCTATTATCTGTCAATATTTCACAAACATTTCACTTGGGAAGCAAGATTTTTGGGGTCTGAAATCAAAAACACTAACTCTGAAACGTACGTTTCAGCCTTAGAACCAAATTTTAAAACTGGTTTGGTGGGTTTTAACACCGTTAGTTTTCTCTAGAAAGTCAAAATTCAGCGTTCGGAGCTCAATTTTGAGACCAAAAACTTAATTTTTGTGTTCTGAAACCTGAAACTAACAAAAACTTACCATTTAAGACCAGGTTTTTGACTTATGGAATCCAAATTTGGGTTTGACTAGTTCAATTTTTGCTGTTTTACCCGAATCCGTTTACAGAAACTTAAAATTTTGACCGGAAACTATACTTATTTTAACTGAAACGTTTGACCCTATAACTGAAACCTAGACTGAAACCAAAATTTTTGGCTGGTGAAAATCAATTTTTTAGTGCTTCGGCTATCATATGAAACCTAGTTTATCAGTATAAAAAGGATGTGTCAGTGTTTTAGACTTAGTTTTTGTTGTGAAACCTGATATTTTTGAGCTGAAACTAAAACTTGGTGTTTGGTGTTATGTGGTTAACGTTTAAGATTGGTTTTAGTGCGTATTCTTTTTGTTTATTAGGTGTATATTTAAACTGTGTCATAAAAAACCAATGATTTATTAAAAAACACCCAAATCCGTTCCTTCCTCCGTGGTTTTTGTTTTTTTCCTTAGTTTCAGTAATTGGTAGCTTTACTGATGGATGTTTTAGGTTTAAGTTAAGTTAAGGTGGATAGAATTAAAATTAGTTTAAGAAAAAATGAGGATAAGCCTCGAGAAATGATGAAGGATTAGAATAAATAGCAACAAGCGTGGATGGTTTGAGATAATGTGACGAAGAATTCAATTTATCATACTATTTAGGGTACTCCTAGATCGCACATATGACCACTCAAGTCCCTCGAAAAAACAAAATGAAGATATTTAATAAGTTTTTGAGCACTTTAGTTTAATACAGAATTTCGTTAATTTTAGTGATGATAACTTTAAACTGAAGTTTCGGCATAAATTTAGTGGATTACTGGACAAAACGGGTATATCTTATTAGCGGACTTAAGCAGAGAACGATTCTTTCAGAAATTTTATATATTATTATAATAATAGATAATAGTTAAATTCATGAGCTAATGTCAGTTAGAAAGCCGTATAATAGACCTCGAGGTGGAGGAATATCGTGGGCGACTGCTAGCGCAGGGGATACTTATCGCAAGAACCCTACTAGGAATATCTGTCAAGTAGAACACAATGAAATTGTGTTTCTATCGAAAGATACCCACGAAAGATACCCATTGTCTCTGGCTTTTTGAGGTTGGAAACTAATCTGACAAATACTCACAGATCCTAATATTAATATATTTTTTGAAGTTTAAAAGCTGTCTCGAGTTTGTTGGAAAAGGAATTTCTTAAGGAGTAATTCTCTGCTGCGGTCGCACCAGTTTTACTAAGCGTTCATTGCTGGTTAAATGCTTAGTAATTTTATCCTAAATTATAAGTCTCACCTTAGATCGTCAAGTTGTCTTGACAAAAGTTAGAGTAGAAACAATAGTTAGAAACGGTATGAATTAATTAGTTGGTTAAAATACAAATCACTGGGTTATTAGATTATATAAACGATTCGAACAGCTTAAGCAAATATACCTATGAGGGGAGGTTGAGCTAATCTTATTTTGTTCATCAAATTTTTATCTTCTTACTAAGGTCGATGGCTGATTAGTATGTATGGGTCGCCCTTGATTGTGTCCACTTCGGCACTTCTGGTTTGGTCGTCAGTATCGTCTTTGCCGTAGTCCTTTGGATACTTGTAGTCCAGACTTCCTCAACTGTGGGGTATCTCGAGTATCTCGATTTATAAATTTTTCGAACTTTAAATGAGAATTTATTCTCTATTTTTTTTTGTGAAAAAAGGCTAGTTTAATTTTATTGTAAAGGCAAAAAAGAAAAATTATTTATTTTAAAAAGATCTGACTGAAGAGATCTGACTCAAAATGAAACAGCGAAGATTTCAGGCCAGTCCTTTTGCTCGTAAGCATAAACCAGCGGCTGATTTATTCTTTAATTATTCAGGTTTCACCTGCTCCTTTGTTCTCCCTTTCTTATAAGGGAATTTTCAACTAGTTTCTATTTGATTTTTTCAAAAATCAAATATCTTTAACTTATTAGTCCCCTTTGATTAAAACCGCAGCCTTCAGTTTTATCTGATTAAAAATTCATATAACTCTCTCTGATGCATCATATTGCAGGTGCATCTCTGCTTAATCAAAGTAAGGAGAATTTCAGTGCAGCCGGCAAGACTGCTAAATATTTATTCATTTTGTTTCAAGTTAAAGTTAAAAGGGACGTTTTATTATTCGCCGCCCTTTTAAAATAGTGAGCATTAAAAAATGAGAAAAAGTGGACAAGTATTTAAAAAGGAG